TCATGGTTCGAGGCTTCCATTCTCTTTACATCCATGGCTAGCGTCGCACCAGCAGAGTGGTCGACTGCTGGGACTACTAACTTGCACCAAGGCTTCCAAGGGATGCGATACCTCCATTTGACACATATTTACCGCAATCAGATGTGTATCCTACAGACTTGGGGACGCTGGACACTGCAAACCGCTCGGACGTTTGTTGTGTTCGCAGGAGTTCGCAGGTTTTAGACATCATTTCTTTGTCCAAAGTTACACGCCAGGTGTTCTAAATCTGCCCTCAAAGACTTCCATCACTTGCGGCCAAGAACTAAGTGGTTCTTCCATTGCAGGAATGCTGGCGATGGTGACAGACAAAGGAGCTTCACACCTCTAGTTGTCCGCTATATGTGGAAGGGAAAAAGACCGCCACGGCGCAGCTCTTCTGTTTGTACATCTTCAAATCTGTTCAATGTCGTCAGGTGTCCTGGAAAGCTGAGGTCTTCCTTCCTGTTTGCCACGCTTCCTAATTCTGTTATACTGCCCTACGCACATTTGTTTCCCTGCCGTATGGCAACACAAGATTCGGCGTCGAACTACAGAGCTTGAATATGCAAATCGTGCTTCAAGACGAGAACACCGCGGAAAAGATGACCACATACAGTCTACCCGACGAGACAGAGGAAGAAGCCTCGGCTGGACCGAGCCAACACGATGGAGTAGCAGACGACACTCGAGATCACTACTCGCCCATGATATCAGAGACTGACGACCTACCACCTGTTTTCCAGGAGGTGGACGAGGAGGATCCCACAGATCTCTCGGCGCCTACCCCTGGTCGGGATGCTACTCTCGAACCTGACGCCAACGAAGCCCCCAACGAGGGCAGCCAGAAGCAAGAGAGTACGACGGCCGCAGGAGCTATCGGATCGCAGGCGCAGTTCGACTCGGACTTTGACGCTGCCTGGGACGCGATCGGGGACTTGAAGGAAGAGCAAAACGAGGATGAAGAAGCGCCTGGCGAGCAGCTGTCCTCAGGACCAGGAGCAACGGGCGAACCAGCAATTACCTCTCCTGACACTCCCTACGATCCAACCCAACCGCTCGAGAACCGTGCTGAGCAGGGTTACAGTCCGGTCGAGCCGTACGATCCTTCCGAGTCGCGTGCTGGACCGCTCTACAGTCCCTCCGAACCCTATGTTGACCCGGGTCTGCCGGCTACCGACGACGAGCCCCGGGACGGAGTGCTACGAACACCAACGACGCCTTCAGCTGTTTTTGAAGGGGTACTACATGACCAGGAGGCTATTACACAAGAAGATGAGCCCCAGCCGTCTACTGGAATGGATGGAGTCGAGGAGACCGAAGGTGGCGTGGAGAACCAAGCCCAAACTCCCGCGGTGTTCCCCGGATCGCCCACACTCAGTCATGGACGACATCAAAGTCCCGAACCGGACGTACCCGCCACTCCCTCGGCGCAGGCTCCTTGGTCTCCTTGGGCGAATGTGCAGGGAATACCTGGTTTGACCTTTCCGGACACTATTATAGAGTCACCTGTTGCTCAAGAGGCGGCGCGTCAGAGTTTTGATGAGCAGCCCAGGACCGTCGAGGACGAGGGATGGCAAGTCGAGGTTGCAGAGTCACCCACCTATGTCCCACCGCCCTCGCGTACTGCGAGTTTAGTGGCAATGGTTCCGTCGCAGTCGACAGGTCTGGCAGGTCTTGTTCCCAGAGTACACAGCGCAGGTCTGGGCGCCATTCAGGGGGACGGGGATTCGAGCGGTATTGCACTGGAGGTGGACGCAAATATCCAACGTCACGACCCGGAGCTACCCGTCGATAACCCGTCCGGCACCAGGAGCAGAGAAACAACCGCCCAGCCCGACACGCCTCTCGGCGACGTGCCCCCGGCGGTCCCTACAGCAGCCGACGCAGCCGATAACGCAACGCTCGTCTATCAGCCGCCACCTGCACAAGTCACTCCCAAGCTTTCCGCCGAGCAGGCCAACAAGCGCAGAATCTCTCAGATATGGGGAGTCCACGATATGCACAGCTCAAAGAAGGCTCGAACTGTATCCAACAGGCTGCTAGAGGAAGTCGGCGGTTATCTGCGGGCCAGCCCCCGGACACAGCAGAGGTATGAGGTGCCGCCGAACACACCGGTGCCCGGTGTTGTTATCACGACTACGGACGGTGGCCGGGCACATCGACAACGATCAACGGTTGGACTCACGACCCTTCCCCAGCCGAGTAAAGCCGGCCAGCCAGCCAAGAAATTCCCCGGCCGGTCTTTCGGTGGTGCTACCACAAATGCGAAGAAGGATGCGGGCTCCGACTCGCTTCCGGACTACGAGTCGCCAGAGCGCCCTCCTGCCCGATCCAGCTCCCAATGGCAGCCGCCTCAGGTTCCTCGGTCAGAGCAAGCGTCTTATCCTGCGCCGGAGACACACAGGGCGGCACCACGTCCTGCTCCTCGGGTCGGTGCGCTCAAGTCCCGGCAACTTATGCCTCAGAATGGCCGGGATGTCGCACCGTACTCCTTCCACGAGCCGGCTCGACCTGTGCAATCCAACTTACCTGAGCAAGCACCTCGTCATCAACAATCACAAGCTCCTTCGACGAATGCAGCGACATCCAAAAGTAAAGGATCTCGAAGGTCCCAGAGAATCGCTAGCCGTGTGAAAGAATCCCAAGCTGCCAGCCATATAGCGCCAGAGCTACCAGCTGTCCCGGAGGCAGAGGCAGAAGCATCTTCGTCGACTGGCGACGCATCTGGGTCGAAGAAGCGCCCCAGTCCAACTGCCGACGCGGGATCGGGTCCAGCCAACAAGCGGCCTCGCATACGAGTGATCACCCGAACACCGCAACAACAACATCATCAGCAAGATCTCGGTCAAGCTCCAGCCCCCGGAGTCGACCAGCAAGCCTCACAAGCGTGGCAAGAAGACCAAATATCCCCCAAGTCCCTCGTACCTCCCCCGACCCCGGTACCTCAACCGGCACCCCCAAAGAAGACCAAGCCCCCACCTGCAGACAAACCCTACGTCGGCAAGGACCTGAAGTGGAAGGACATCAACGCCCGCCTCCCCAGCTCCGTCTTCGGCCACACGTCCTGGATCCAGCGGCGCTTCTGGCAGGTCAAAGAAGAGACCGAGCTCCGCGAGGCCTGGACGGAGGAAGACGAAAAGGCCATCGCCATCTCCATCTCCGAAGTCTCGGCCTCGCGCTACCTCCAGAGGCTCTACGACTGCCAAGTCCCGGACCTCTTCCGCTACGGACTGAAGTACGTCCCTCCCTCCCCAGACCCCCGCGGCTTCCCGCAGGACGAAGACTTCTGGATTCGTCTCACCCGCCTCCTCCCGCACCGCCTGTTCCTCGGGCAGGTCTCCCTCCTCCGGTACGCCCTCCAGATGAGCGTCTGGTACCGCATCAGCCGACCAGAAACAGAAATCGGGCTGCACGCGTGGCCCTTCCTCCCGCCATGGTCCCACACCGAACCGGGGTACGTCGCGCACCTCAGGGAGCTCCGCGCCCAACACCCCGTCGACTTGGCCGCCTACGCGACAAAAACAGCCGAGATCACCCAGACGGCCGAGTTCCGCTGCCTGACGCAGGTCGAGAACGCCAGCGGCATGATGGAGCTGTGCCAGCTCATGAGCGACCTGTGCCACGACTTTCATAGTCGGTTCCCAGCCCGGGAGGTGGAGGGCCACGAGCTGTACCTCTTCTGCCTGTCGGAGCGCGACCTTATCTTTCTCGAGCACTGTCTCGACGAGCTCGACGCGCAGAGGCGGTACATCCAGGAGCAGCGCGCCAGGACGTGGCAGGAGACGCACGGCTACGCGCGCCGCCAGACCGACGAACCGCAGGAAATCCCTTACGTCGAGGAACACAGGGCGTACGTTAACCTGGACGCTCCGCATGGTAGGGAGAAGAACGTCCCCATCGAACCCGTAACCGTCGACTCCGAGTTCGGTTCCTTCTTCTCCTCCCTGACGAGGGAAGACTTCTACGTCACCAACGAAGCCATGGCGTCCTACCGCGTCGAGAGACGCCTGGCCGTCATAGCCGAGCGCCGCGAGGCCATCATCCGCCACAAGCTCGGCCTGCGCGGGCCCGACGAGAAGAGGGTGCTGCTCGACGTACCGCCCTTCGACCCGGATCCGGATTTCCGTCTCTTCACCGATGCGCAGCAGCCCGAGGATCTACCGGGACTGATGGTCGTCCAGGGGAAATTCGTCACTCCCAGACTGGCGGGTTGGTTGAAGCAGTGGCTCGCCAGGAAGGCCGGGGCGGGGGTGGAGAGGTGGATGAGCACCCCCGGTAGAACGCCGGAGAGGGCGCCGGGGATCGTGCCTGGGCCTTGGGTGGAGAGGGGGTTGGTGGGGAGGTTGGAGAGCGTGTGGCTGTTTGACGGGGAGGATGGGAGGAGAGTTGCGGGTGCGGTGGAAGAGGAGGATGTTGAAAGTGAGGACGAGGACGAGGACGAGGACGAGGGTGAGGAGAGGACGCCGGTCGTGGAGCACTTTGCTGTTTATCGCAGACGGACTATGCAGGCTCCTGTGCTGGCTGTGGGTGGTGGGCTGTGGACGCGGAGGAAGGGGAGGGGCTAGGGTGGGCAAGTGCCGTGAGATGAATGGGCGGATGATAGGCGGAGTGTCGTGTTGGCGAGGGGTGCTGGAGTTTTTGGTGCACATATTTCGGGATAAACGGGTTTGTTTGTACAAAACATATCGGGAACTTTTGCTTGTACAATTTTCATTTGAGTCGTGTTAGGGTAGAATATAATGTTCGTCTTTCATCCTGTCTGCTACCTCCGTCCAGTTGCCAGTTGACCTCTCCAACAATTGAACTCCGCGCTTACCTACTTACACAAGCCAGACCTAGTGCCTTCACATGACCGACAGTCTGGCGTCGTCTTGCACATACATTCTTGGTCTGACATGAGGCCTCGGAGACACGGACAGCGGCGAGAGAACGTTGGGCCACGGACAGCAAAACAGACATGGCCAAAAAGGCCAAAAGAATGCGCCAGCCGCGAATCGAACGCGGGGCCCATCGAGTCACGGCATGCATGGCAACGATGGATTTTACCACTAAACCACTGGCGCTGTGGAGTGCTTATGAAGCGATGTTAGTGTTGAGTCGTAACTGCCCTGAATTGCATACAGCTGAATTCCGAGTCATGCCGCGTCCGAATTGCTTCTGGCGCGGACTCTGCCTGCCAGGGAGAGGGACTTGTTTGCGACATTAAACAGAAAGGTTGACCTGATGGTCATGAAGAAGGCCGGGGGAGAAATGCTGCTCGGTTGCAACCGCTTTTCGTTTGGATGAGAACAAGAAGTAGAGTGATCCGGACCAATGCTTTGAAAGACCTACCCTATAGGCCCATGTCTACACCCGATGACCATTCCCACCACCACCACCATAACCTCCATCCCGGCACACCCCTCTCTCACCCGCCCCTCTCAAACCTAACCCACCGGTGGCCCCTCTCATCCCACCCCGCCCTGGGACCGACATGCATCTCCCTCCAGCACCTTGAGCAGTACCCGTCCCCGTCGCACCCTTCACACCTAACAGTAGCGTCCTCGAGGCAGACGACGCACCAGCTCTTCTGGTCCTCGTCTGTGTACCCGCCGCCCAACCTGCCCGCATACCCGGGCTTCTGCTCGGCTCGAGAGTCGGGGTTGAAGGAGGGCGCGGAGGGGAGGCCGAAGGAGTCCGTGCCTGACGTCCCGTACGATACGCCGGATAGGCGGGACATGCGCGCCGCTATGGAGGATTCGAAGTCGAGGGGCGGGGGGTCGACGGGGTCGACTAGGGCTGAGGGGACGGTGGGGAGAGAGAGGGGGTCGTTGGAGGTGGTTGATAGTTGAATGTTTGATGTTTGGGGGTTTGGGGGCTGGGAAGAGGATGAAGGGGGTTTGGATGATTGGCCTGGGGGCGGTGAGGCGGTGTGCTGTGCCGCTTCTTCAGCGTGTTGCTGGGGGTTGAGAGAGCGGCCTAGCTCTGCCTCGTCCAGAGCCCGGGAGAGGACATCTCTTACTTTGGCGGACATGGCCTCGCCGTCGGAGTCGTCGTCGTCGGAGGGATTGTCTTGGCCATAATGCGATGGATCTGCGCCAGGCTTCCCGAGTTCTTCCAAAAGCGCAGCAACTCTCTGCTCCTCATTCTTAGAGTCGGGTAGGCGTGGTGGAGGGTCGTCAAAGGAGATATCATTATCATCTAGGTCCAAGCTCTCCAGAAACTCATCCAGCGTGCTGTCATCTCCGGTGAATAGGGGATCGACATCATCCGCATCTTCACCCGGCGCATCTCGTGCCACCGGGGACGGTGACTGGCCCTTACTACTCAGAGATCGGCTAGGGGTGGTGGCATCTGGTCGGGGCTGTGCCGGCGACGGGGAGCCGGTGTCTTGGCGGGGATCGGGGGGTCGTGGCGAGGCCGAAACCGAGGCATTTCGGAGGGTGCGGAGACGTGCTGACAGAGCGTCTTCCTTTGATGTTGGCTTGGGTTCTGACAGTGGGAGCAACCTTCGTTGTTGTTCATCTGGATTTAGTTACTAATGAACCGGTGTAAAGTAACGTCTGCGGTGTGGCTGGTTTACTTTGCCTCATCTTTGTCCAGGGTCACTGTGGTTGGTTTCAGGGCGTTGAGCCGGTCGAGTAAGCTCCTGTCATCCGCCATGGTTGGGTATCCAATGCCCTCACAATGCGCTACGGAACTGTGATGTTGGCTGTGTTATCCCGATGAATGCGCTCTGATTATGCTCGGCTAAACCTTCAGGCCGATGATGGCAAGGTTCGATGCGTATCAAAGGGACCTTAAACGCCTTTTAGGACTCAAAAAGGTCAGATTCGCCGAAAGGGAAGCGTAAAGAGCGGTTGTGCTAATGTGGCAGGCTACGATGGTCGAGATGCGACTGGTTGGTTTGCGGAGGCGGATCGCAAGGCAGCTTTCCGACCGCTGAGGATCGATCGGTGCATTGGATGTTGGCCTGGTTGGATCAGTTGGATCAACGCTCACAGCCCGATGCATCTAACGTGGTTGGGGGTTGGATTATGTAAGGCCCTACCTAACTCACCACCGGTCCGTTTAAGCTTGCCCGTACCTGCCATGCCCTTTCGGATCCGGCACCCGGACTTGGGCCTCTGGGTGGACACAGCCCCGCGTAAATCGCGAAATCGGAAATCCCGTGATCGGTGATTTGCGTGCGGTGGCGTCATGGTTTTGAGACACCTCGGCTGTACGAAGTATCGATGCTCTTTTGCTGCATTCTGTTTCCAGGTTCATCATCTTCAAATCAGATGAGACCGGCCGCACCTCCCGCGTTTCTTTGATTTGAAGGGTTTTGCCGTTTGTCTGTGGCTGAGCTCGCTAGAACACTTGGCAACCTTAGATAGCTCCTTCCGCTTTGCGAAGTGCGGACACGGAAGTTGCGGTCAGGCATCAACCAGTGAAAGAAAAATGATTGCGAAATGCCAAACCTGAACGCATCACTGAAGAGAGGAAGACCATCAAACCGATGGGTCGTGTTACACCTGGATGCCGGTGAGCCAGAGAGTCAAGAGAGTCAACACAACAGCCCTGAATCGAAGCCCGAACCGTTGGTTATGTCATTGATCGTCAAGAAAGGGACCCTCCATTCAGGTCCCCGGCTCTGTGTCACACACCTGATGAGGTCAACGCCACACACTACTGTGGTCAGTTAGCAACCTGCAAGGTTAGAGGAAGCTTGGCACGCATCATTAACATTTGCGCAGGCGAAGTGAAGCCTCTGACCTTCCGGTCTGGTCTCCTGCATTCGGCGCGGGCAGTTGACCGTGCCGCTCACTTGCTCAAATTGGCGTCTTTTTTGCCTGTCAACCCTTCCATCCAACTGCGCCTGCCACCTGCAAATCCGACCCAAAAGACGAGGGAATTTGCATTTCCCAAGGAAACAAGCTCTCTCTGACGTGGTTATATCCGCTCAGGTCTTCCCACCTATATCAAGCCACACCCCTCTTGGCCCTGTTTTCTTCTTCTGTTTCGTACATTTAATTATTCACCACCAAACACCACAACATCAACAACTCTTGCTCTTGCTCAGGCATATTACATCACGCCTATCGACAACACTATACAAGACTCTAATCTCCCTGTGCACGACCACATAACACATCCACAATGCGCTTCGGTCTAACCGTCCTACTCTCGACCCTCCTCGCCGACGTCGCGGTCACAGGCGCATACGTCGGCTCCGAGGCCGGGAACAGCGTCGCACGACATGTGCCCGTAAGACACACCAACGACGAGCGCGACGCAAAGGAGGAGTACACACAAGATCTATGGAAGCGCCGGGGCGGCGGCGGAGGCGGAGGTAGAGGAGGTGGCGGTGGTAGCTCCGGAGGAGGCTCGTCTGGCGGTGGCTCGTCCGGGGGGTCTGGTTCAAGTGGCGGCTCTGGGTCGTCGGGCGGTAGTGGTAGTTCCGGAGGGTAAGTCATCTCTTGCGCGCTTTGCTTTATTTTCCTTCCATCCTTTGCACCGAGTCGCAGGCCATGTTGGGCGGCGCTGATGTTGCTGTAGCCGAGGTGGTAGCGGCAGCAGCTCTGGCAGCGGCAGCAGTTCCGGCGGCAGTTCGTCGTATGTTCCTTTCGTTCCGCGCCCTCCTCAGTCGGTTACGCGCGCTGCTGCGTTGTTACCATTTTGCGCGTACAGCACAGATCAGATTGGCTAACAGTTTCACAGTGGCTCAACTGGCGGTGGCCGCGGCGGTTCCGGTGGCTCAGGTTCAAGCAGCGGCGGCTCCAGGGGTGGGACAGGTGTGTCACCCAAATACGGTGGCGGTTCGTTCTACCCCGGCGGCGCGCGGCAATCATATCGTTCCGGCAGTCGCTCTCCCTCGGGCGTCACCCCGTTCTTCCTCGGTGCGGGCATCGGCGCGCTAGCCTTATACCCGCTGCTCGCTTGGCCGCATGGCGCCTACTTCTACCCCTACGCCCACCCCTACGGCTTCTACAACCGTACGAGCGGGCGCAACGAGTCCAAGCCCGTGCAGTGCGCCTGCGACCCGGACGTCGAGTGTGGCTGTGACGACGACGGGACGAACACCACCACCACCGTCCTCAACGAGATGATTGGCGACGGCGACCCCAAGAAGCTGAATGCCACGGAGGTCATGGTTGCCAACAACACCATCTTCATCAACGGTACCCTGCCCAACGCCACGGCTGACACAAGCGAGGACGGTTCGGATTCCGGCAGCGCTGGTATGCGCTTTCTCCTCCAGAATGTGGGCTGGTGGCCTGTCGTGGCTACCGTCTGCGCTGCGGTCTTCATTTCATAAACACCCTTTCGCTTCATACGCATCATTTCGCGTGGGTCAGCCACTTTGTGTTGCTTGAGGGTTATTGAAAATTGCTCCGTCATGGGTTGGGGAGGCAGTCTGTTTGTCTGCATATGTACGATATATGCATGGTTGATCGCAGGAGGAAGACTGTCACGACGGCGTTTGGGGAGTTCAAAGGGCTGATACCACTTGAGGAGGTCTTTTGACACATGTTTGATGATTACTTCTCTTTTTCAGTTTTGGGCATGAGACAAGACCAGAGTTCAGGATAATGTTAGTTATAGAGGACGAATACATCATTCATGGCTATGCTATTTCCACACAACTCCGACTTAACGTGAACTTGTGGAAGTGTCTTGCAACTTCCCGATAATGCTGGTTAACCTCTCAATATGCTCATGCCTCCCCGGCAACTCTCTCACTCTCACCAGCCTTCCTCTCTTCATCAACCGCCTCACTCTTGACGATTCCTTCACCCTCCTCAGCAACCCTCCTCTGCTCTTCCTCCTTCCTCTCCTCCCTCCTCCTCTCCACCCACTCCCCCAACTCCCGAAAAATAGCCTCCTTCTCCGGCGGCCTAAGCGTAGCAGCAAGCCCACTGGTACTACACGTCACGAAAACCCTACTCCCCTCCCACTTTCCCCCTTGTTCCTCGGGGCCATATTCAACCCCCACCTCCCTCTCCCCCTCCCTCATCCCCTCCTCCCCGACAACCCCCATCCTCTCCTCCTGCCAACCATACCTCCACCCCTTCCCCAACTTCTTCCCCGTCCTAACCCG